GCTTGGCCATTTCAGACGCAGGTGGACGCTGCTTTGATGGCACTGCGCTTGGCCATTTCAGACGCAGGTGGACGCTGCTTTGATGGCACTGCGCTTGGCCATTTCAGACGCAGGTGGACGCTGCTTTGAAGGCACTGCGCTTGGCCAATTCAGACGCGGGTGGACGCTGCTTTTAAGTGGCACTGCACTTGGCCATTTCAGACGCAGGTGGATGCTGCTTTGACGGCATTTTCTAGCTGAAGGCTAGGAAATGAGATGGATAGTTTGTGCCCTCATCCCATGCACTAGGCTGCTTGGAAAGCTCTGTGATTGATCGAGACATGCATACAATGCAAGCCTGATGTCCGAGAAGGGGATCTCCTTGCATAGAAACACCTTGTCACTTCCATAATCATATACCCATGCAATTATAAGTCTTTGCTGAAGCAACAGGTGGCAATATCTGTGGCTGCTGCAGTTACTGCGATTTGTACATAGTCGGCCTCTTCTGCAGTGCTGCAAGGAAATGTTTCCACCAATTTTTGTCTATATATAAAAATAAAACTTTTATTTTCTTTGAAATGTACACACTTTAAGTCACTGTTGACTGCCCTTTTTGTGTTTTCAGGTACCTTGAGTGAAGACCCGCACTCCCCTAAGAGTCAGTGGCCCACCCCAGACCTCTGCCCGGCCTGCCACGAGGAACAGAAGGGCCTTCACGTCTGGAACGAGGAACGCGTCCTGGACTTCTTAAAGCAACACTATGGAGCCTCTAACATTTCCCCACAGTACGCCATGGGCTACGCCGGTCTGGAGCCACTGGCGGGCCAGAGCGGGAAGGCAGACGAGCGGCGGCGGCCGCCTGACCAGACGGACGCCCCCGTCCTGAGGCTCAGCCCTGCCGTGCATGCAGAGGTGCGTGCGGACACCCAGCCAAAACCCAAGCCCAGCATGACTTTCCTGGTCCTTGGCTTCTCCAGTTTGGACATGAGTCTCTGCGTGCTCCTCTACACACTCTCCTGTGTTTTCCTCATGGTGGTTTTCTTCTTCTTTCGCATGCGGTCCAAGCGCTGGAAGCTGAAGCACAGCCGTCTTTACGTGTAGCACACGGTCCAGGGGGCTGGGAGACCGGGACCCCACCCTCTCATTTTTTTAACCAAATGTAGCAGCTGAAGCGGATTTCAGTATAAGTGAGTGAGACTTGACGGGTTTTCCAGAAGCTACAGCAGGATACCTCATAACCCCTCCTGTAGTCACAGTTTCAGTTGACAGTCATGGACATTCAGCAAATTTTTGATTCAGAAAGACATAAATATGGGAAGTGTAAAATGATTCATTTTGAAGAATATTATGTGAGAATCTCATATTTGTGATGAAATTTTAAATGGTAGTTTTTAAATGGTAGTAATTATACCATGCCCCTCATTACAGCATCTCCCTTTTTCGTTTCTTTTTCCGCCAGTTGCTCTAACAGTTGAACCACTACATAACATAATCATTTTGTATATTTTATATATGTGCCATATGAATTCCAAAAATTTCTCTTGAGCCATTAGTAGTATGATTATCTATCAAGACATAGATAATCATGGTCCACATGCACAACAGAATATGTGAGGTTTAAGGATCAGATTGACTTGTGCTGGCTTTGAAAGCCCTTCAGTGGCTGAGATCGGATAGGCATGACGGTCTTCGGTTCGCATTACCTTACTGTTCGTCCTAAGCATTCAAAAGTTATAATGTGTTAATGGTTAATAATTTGAACCACTTTTCCATAAATGTAATTTTAGTGTAATTTGTTTAACCTGTAGGCAGGATGGTGACTTGGCGGATAGCACTTTTACCGCTCATCTCCAGGACTGGGTTTGAATCCCACATCAATTTTGTGTTTGTGGAATTTGTATGTTCTCCCTATGTCACATGAGTATTCTCCTGCAGTCCAAAGACAGCAGTTGGTCTAGTCACTGTCTTTATATCGACTGTAGTGTGTGTGTGTGTGTGTGTGTGTGGTGGGTGGTGGGGCGGCGGCACCCCTTCCAGGTATACCCCATACCTAGTGTCCTATCCTGACTGCGGTAGTCTCTGGGCCCCTTGTGACTCTGTCCAGGATAAGGAATTGAATGATGGATGGATAGATGGATGGATAGTTTGTTCAACATGTTCTTAAAAACTATTTGCAGATGTTATTTAAAGCTTGCAATGCAAAACAAAATCTAGTTTAAGTGAACTTGAATATTTCTGATCTGGCTGCCTTATGAGTATACTTATTTTTATAAGAGGACTTCTTTATGACAAGATAATGAATATTTTGGGAAGTGTAATTTGTATTTAAGGTCCAGCGGTTATTCCGGTGATAAAATGAAGTTTGCAAATATTATCACTGCTGTTCAGCGGCCTCTGCTGCTTTGGTTAAATCCATCATACTGAAGATATTTTTTATATATATTTTTTTTCTTGTAACCACACCTGAGTGTGTGCGCCGTCAAGAACTGTTACAGTGGTTACACTAGGTTTCTTGTAGTTTTAATATAATGATTCAAAACTGCCACCTCTGAATAGGCCTGATTTTGGATCCAATTCTAAGAGGCTGGTTTGGTTAGTGAGACATTCTGGAAAGTTATTTCCTTTTTTTTCAAATGGCATTTGCTTATTTGTTAACATGGCAGGACCTGTCTGATCTCAGATGAAACACTAGAAACATTGCTAAGAATTTCTGCAGGCAAAGCCATAAGTCAGGTCTTCAGTTTTCAATCAAGGTTCATTTAAATATAGTATTTATTCCATTTTTTTAATAAGCAAAAAGGCTTTGTTTTTATCAATATGTAAATGATTATAGTAAGTGAATTGAATGTATTTTCATTTGATTTGTCCTACAATTATTTTAAAATTAAAGAAAATAATGTATTTTAAACATTGTCATTCCTGAACGGCTTGGCACCTGCATTTGGTGTGACTGCAGAGAAATTTTAGGATGTTTAATTTAAGGTGCTAGTTTAAATGTGTACCTTTTTTCTGTAGGAGGAATGGTTTGATTTCTGACCTTGTACTTCAAGTCAGTGCTAAGTACTACACTGGCCCCTCTTTCGCACATGTGAATCTTGATTTATTTGCATGAATGGGTTTAGTGTCAGCAGCACAGACCTGCCCTGCGCTCCGCTTCCAATGGAGCTCTCAGTTCATTTGGTTGTTTCTAAGAGGAGAATAAAGCAGATTCCCTCTCCTGCTGGTTGTCAGGTGGCCCTTTTTGGAGCTGCTTCAAGTTACCTGCTTTGAGTAGAATCTTTTTTTTTTTTTTTGTAATTTATTTTTCACTAAATTAATTTCTTCATTTCTTCCTGTACAGTTGTTTCCTATTTCAGTGGACTTTTAGGATTTTTGTATAAAATTGATGTGTGATTACTGTGATTTGGAAATTAAAACATGCAAGAGTGTCTGGTCTCAGTCTGTCCTTTCAAACCAATGCAAAACTAACTGATGTATCTTTCCATGTATTTATAACGTTTTTGTCTTATTGCTTGCTGGTCACCACAGAAAATTTATAGAAGTTTCTGCTTATGCATGTCTATTAGATGACATTTATAATAAATTTCACTTTTTATGGAAGAGTAAAAATGCAGCATTAGTCATAGCAGGAGACTGGAGAAGTCAAGGCATCCTGGGTTTTGATCGTCTTTGTATTCAGGGTTACATTTGCCGATATTCAATGATCTTCGCAAATATCAAACAAGATAATGAACAATGTAAGTAAAGAACAAGTGAGTTTTCCAAATGTTTTCCAAATCCCTTTGATATCAGATTCAATGAGCAAACTTAAAGTAGTTCTTTGTTGGGCCTCCCAACATCCATGTGAGAAAAGGGCAGACTGTGAATAACAGGAAGATCGATTCCACACATTTCAGTTGTCAGATATATTAGGCCTCTATTATTGTCATACACCTTAAAATGCAAAAAAAAAAAAAATCAGCTCATGGAAGCACAAAAAATGAAGACCGTAATAACCTTGTACTTTACATATCAATGGGTTCAATACATGATGTGATTTTCTTGCAAAAAAAAGAACAATGGCGAGCAGGAATGGGAAGCAAAACTCCTCAAGAGAAAAATTAAAAGCATTTATGGAGCACATGGCCAAGAAATGTTAATAAGGTAATTACTGTAGCGTTTATGCAGCATTTAGAGGAAACTCTAGACTCCCAAGGTCTTGTGCCAGCCCCAGAATCGCATCTTCCACATGTCCACATCACGCTCCACGTTTGTGTCCTTTAGTGTTGGGTGTTATATCTCTCCTCAGCCACAGTTTGAGGATTCCACACTGAAGTCAGCAGGTATCTACGAAGAGGATACTTGCTACCTCCCTGTATTCAGCCACCAGCAAGCGCAGCATCCTTCGCCATCTGATACACTGATGAATTGGGTATAAGACTCGTGTATTACCAGGCAGCCTGACCATGAAATGTTGCGGGACCCCTTCCAGGTCTTCCAGTATGTCGAAACATGCACCAATTCAGATCTAGGTCACTCTATGCTATCAGTATAATAACTGTCAATGCAGTAACGTCCAAGTCTTACTCTCTGCTGCAAAAGCTCCTGGCTGGATTATACAAGCTGCTGTACTAGCAGTAATGGTAGCCTGGTAATTGGAGACTTCTGTTTTATAGGCTAGAATTTGTTGGAGTTTCATTTGAAATATTTCACAGATTTTATCCGCAGTAACATACAAGGTTTTGTTAATGTACAGTTAATGGTTTGCTTTAATCACTTTTTTCTAGATTAGATTAGTCTATCTTATACTTGAATTCAAACGCATGTTCCAAAATGTTGCTAGAACATCCAGGATCAAGTTGCCAGAATGTCTGTAAAAATGCCTCAATGGCTGCATATCACCTGGACATTTCGTATGAGAACTCTTTTGGACAGGTGCAATTGGAGTTCAAGATGCTTGGACGCTGCTGGAAGTAAGGGCTGATTCACCTCTCCCCTTTAAATGATGTGGCTGAATACATAGCAAGATTGACTGGTTAGCTCATTATTTAGGCATACCAAGGTGGTGCAAAATGCAAAATTCATGAATTTGAATTGAATTGTCCACGTCCTTAGGTAGGCCTACCCAAATTGTAGCAGGTGTTAAAGCTACAAAGAACCATTCTGCGCTAATTAATAACCCACATTATTGTGTTATACTGTACTACAACATTAACTTATTATTATTATTATTATTGTTATTATTATGTTGTTGTTGTTGTTGTTGTTCAAAAAGAGTATCAGTGTGATTTTGTGATCTAGGCATAGGCCTATTTTAGGCGACCTCTCTGTCTCTGTTAGAGAACAGGCCTAGCAGGAAAAAGTTCCAATAAAGAACAAAGTAGAAAATGACGAGTGGGTCGTCTCACTCATTAATTTACGAACTACTTTAGTTACGAAGGGTTTCGGGAAACACTCGCTAAATAGCTAATAATCTTAAGCAGGCCTATGAGATAACGGAGTATGTCGTAAATCGCTCTCTCTGCGTGGTATTTGGTTTACGGCAAACACATGCATAAACGTGAAATCAAAGACCACATCTCCAAAGCGGCAATATGCCTAGTTAAATTAGCTTCAAATGGTATAAGTTAAAATAGATTGAATGAATATAAATTAAATCACCATATTGCTAAAATATGCCTAGGCCTATATTTCATTAAAATGCGTATTGTACACAAAGTTCACATTTCATCGCATAACATAGCAAGGTAGGTTCGGTTCATTTGTTGTGTTCCGCTTCACAACATGTCAACAAAGGTATGCAAATACCTGTAGGCCTATACGGGTATACAGAGGATTTGTAACATTTCAACAACTTATTAGAGATTAAACAATTAATAGGCCTATAACATGGGTTGAGTTGGTAGTCATATTCAGTTAAAATAATCTAAGAATATGCAGATACGTTTAAGAATCGTTACATATACTCTATATATAGGCCTACTGTATATTCCGTTAAACATCTGCAGATAGAGGGAAATAGCTGAATTGTTGAACTTCAGCTAAGTTGTTGAAATGTTACAAATGTAGGCGGACTATCCAAATAGAGTGTTACCATTAAACTTTCCACTGATAATCGTACAAAGTAATACATGTCATGTTATAATATATCTCCGAGATGTTAGAAGGAAGATTCTGGAAAAAGTATAGATCTAATAGAGGCTAAGCATTGCAGCAAAGAAACTAATCGTTTAGTAAAATGGTAGAATAGTCCGTAAACGGTAAAGAGGGAAATTCTACAAAGTTCTAATACAGATAATGTTTGTGATGTCACGTCATAAACGTGAATATAGTTTCCCCCGTTATTATTATTATTATTATTATTATTATTATTATTATTATTATTATTATTGTTGTTGTTGTTGTTGTTTGCGTGGCGTCTCAAATAATCTTCAGGTAGGCTGAAACATTTTTAATGAAAGCCTTGTAGCCTATATAGTCCTATTTGTAAAAAGTTACAGTATAGCGTTCCTAAGTGCCATGGCCACAAACAAAAAAACATAACAATTGATGACCCACTTAAGTGAAAAACAGAAATACAAAAGAATTACAAACCGGTTCGGTTCTCTCTTCGTATTGTTTCTTCGTTCGGTTCTTGCATACGTCTAGTTCCAAGCAATGTCACGATGTAAACGCCCAACAAATGTAAAGTCGCAGGACTTGGATGTCCAGACTGACAAATAATCATAATACACACCTTTTTCATTATGATTGCTGACATGATTCGGGGTTTTCCTTTATCATGCGTTAAATATAATTCATTACTATACGTGTAATTAAAGTAATTCTTGCAAGTTTCAAGGTAAATTAAATAAAACAATGCAATTAAATTCCTAAAGTATGTTGTGGGCTGTATTAAACATCTGAAATTTTTGATCACTAAAATACATAATTGCTATAACCTACCATTTTCCTGTATTCATGGTCACTAAACACCTGTACACACATATATTTAGATTTTCATTATAAAAATGTTATTTGGAAATTCAGTCAGAAAATCTGTCAGTTCTTCAATTACTTAGCAAATACTGTATTGCATTATTATTGAATTATATTTTAGTAAATTGTTTTGTTCGAATTTCTTTTTTTAAATGAGTGATTACATAAATAGACATATAACACAGGAATTTTGATCATAAATAAAACTACTCGAGTCTGAAGCGACAATCTGTGTGGTAAAGGGGAAAAACGGGCTCAAAATTTTCTTAGACTCAGACATGCAAAACTCGCTGATGAAAAATCCTGACGCAAGACTTTGTATTAAAGAAAATGTTATAGGCCTATATACGCTCCCAGTGTCTCATTAGCACATTTGACAGTGTGACCAATGCTGCGGGACCCTGACAGATATCCTAGTATGTTAATACACGCACCAATCCAGATCTAGGTCACTCGACGCTATCAATATAACTGTCAACGCAGAAACGTCTAACTCTAACTCTCTGCTACAAAAGCTAGTGGTTGCATTGTACAACCTGCCGTACTGGAAGAAACGTCAGTCTGGCAATTGGAGACTTCTGTTTAATAGAAAAGAATTTGTTTGTTGATTTTCATTCGAAATATTTCACAGATCTTATCCACAATAACCTACTAGGTTTTCTTATTATACAATTAATGGTTTGCTTTAATCACTTTTTCCACTAATGTAGATTAGTTTATTTTATACTTATACAAACGCATGTTTTTCCAGAATGTTGCTTGAACATCCAGGATCAAGTTGCCAGAATCATGAACATTTCTCTAGATACGGCGCGACTCAAGGTAAGTAGCCTATTTGCATCAAAAATCGTTACCGTGATTTTGAATTGCCTTCTTTTCAAGAAGAAAAACGAGCCTGGATTTCCATACTTTACGATAACGCTATTGTAAATTAAATTACTTCTAGAATTACACTCCAACATTTAAAAAAAAAAAAAGCTGTATGGGTGAATTTCTTCAATAGAACTGAACGCCGCATAACTGAATTTCTGCAGAGAAATGAAAATAAAATGTGCTTTTTGAATCAGTTGAATAAGATATCAATGTAGATTTGTAGAATGCTGAGGTTGCACAATGAAATACAGTAAAGTGATGGTCTGTTTTGAGCGCATTTTGCTTGGGGTAGACGCCGTGAATATGTAATACTAGCATTATGAGTAAATTGTCCGAGCAGATGTTAAGCGCGTGCTGTCATTTCACACCATCATTCATAGATGTCAGTAGATCACCAAAGGTGTCCAAACTGTCAACACATGTCGGCACCTTGACTGCCTGCTGTTCTTACCTACGGTCACCTGTTGCGAGCAACTCAGCAACCTTCCGTTTCTTTGACGTGTGTTGCACCTTAAGGTAATGGCATCAAAAGGGAGAAGTGAAAACAACGTAAACCGTAATCAGTGAATCTGCACGCCTTTCCCTGCTGTAGTAACGTAAATGGTCTTTAGCTTATGTTTTTATTGATTCGTGTTGGCCATTTATAGGCCTAACATAGGGAATATTTCACTGGGGGCAAGTGAGATGAAACAATTCGCTTACTTATGACAGAATATGACCTGGGACGCGAACTAGTAACCTTCGGCTAATGAGTCCATGTATTTTTGCACCCACCGAAGATTTCTTTTTTGATTTCGTTTGCCTTTTTCATTTACCTTTGGTATCATTTAATAAAAATACAGAGAAAGCAGTAGTAGAGTGAGTTATACGGCCCGGGTACGCGTGCTTATTTACGCGGTACCTTTCATCCACGACCATAGACGTAGCTCATTTTTTTCCATTAGTGTCACCTGACCCTTCTAAAGTGCGCGATCAATAAGACATAAAAAAATATCATTAAAGCTTAAAAGTAAGAAAAACATTGAAGCATCGGGCACCTTTCACCAAAATGCGTTTGATATACTCTGAAAACGCAAGGAAATGGGACATTGATTTTGAATTCATCAGAGGACCAGTCAATGGTGGTACTACGGTTGATTTCCCCAGGCGATCTTTTCGCTAAATTTCACTGTCAATAAAATGTGTCTGGCTCTTAAATTTTTATTGAGCGTCCTGTATTTCGTAAACTAAACAGTTGTCTCTTAGAAATGACGCGTGAAGTTTCAGCGTAAGATTTGAACAGTATTCGAATACACATGTATTGAATGACAAAGGTGATGGCTTTTTTAAAGTTTGATTATAAGGTTACATAAATATAAGGCATTTATAGTATAATATTTAAGCGTTATATAGACCTATTAAATTTTTTTGGACAAAGATTTTACATTTGGAGCTATTTACAAGTAATTAATAAATAATCGGAAATAAATAGATCTATTCAGAACAAGAAACAATAAAATTCACATAGCACAACCTCTGCAATGAAAGAGAACATGGAGAAACCGTGAATTACTATTTTGTCTGCGCTATGTCATAACCAATGGTCTTTTTGTGACGTTTATCATTTGGATCTCTAAGTAGGCCAATTGTGATTATTATTATTATTTAATTTACTGAACGTCTAGATTATTAACATTCGTATTATATGTATCTTACTTGAGATATGAGTTGTATCTACTATTAATAAAAAACCCAGATAAATATTTTTTTCAGTCGTCCGCTATTATTTCATAGTAACATACTAGATTATAGGCCTAGATAAATATGAAAATTTAGGATTAATGTCTAATAAATGGTGATGTATCTAGAACATCACTTTTCTCGATTTTTAATTTTTTTTCATTTACAAAGCATTTCTTCTTGTTATGTAGAACATTACTTTGCCTTTAGTTTCAATTCGAAATGTAATACATTTGTAAACAGGCGACTACAGAGCTATGTACGGCTTAACTGGGGCTGCTACTGTTGCTGAGAATTGTTCCCCAACACTATTAATGTTTTTTTTGAAGTGCTATAAAACAGTAGACTACCACACTATATACGTATAATTCATATTGATTGAATTGTTTTGGACTGTTCATACTTATTTGGCATCGGTTAAACTACCGTATAATTATTTCTTTGGTTAATATTATTGCTAAAATAAATGTACTGTTATTTGTCGTTTATGTAGTCGTTGTTAATGAAGTATACTTAAGCTTCATTTTGTCTTTTAATAGGCCTATGTTTGTAATTGTTTATTGAATAAACGTTTGTGAAACGTGCCTAATTTACTAATTATGAAATGCAATGCCCTAAGCATTTAGTGAAATAGCGTATTTTGTGGAAATGTACAAATATAATGTCATAATCCTGGAAGCAATATAATTACGTTTTTCTAGCAATCATTTTACCCAAATGTAAGTTGTCCTCATGATATCAGTAGGCTTATATTCGTAATATTAATATATATTGCCTCACCTGCTGAGAAATTTATTATTTCCTACAAAAAAAGTTTTTTTAGTTTGAAGCCGAATAGGCCTGTATCGACAAATAAATGTAATGCAGTTTTATAACGTTAAGGAAACAGGAACACATTACGTGAATATATCAAGTTGGGAAATAGTCACTGTTTAGCCTACATACAATCCGCAAAAGCATCAGGTGTTTTTGATTCCTATTTTACTTATATAGCCTATATCCTACATGACTGGCAATATGCATAGGTTAATTTCCAGTAATGCCTAATGCTTAAGATATTTAATAACCTAGTAATAAAGAAATGTATATAATATTTATATATTTTCTTTGGATATGCTCGTTAACAAGCTTTCCTTGGATGCAAGATAACGTTTTATGAGCAGGCTTTAGGCGCCCGTGATTGGCCAATTCGTGTGCTGACTTCAGGGGTCGTTTCCCCTTCATTCATTTAAGCGATTTGGCTGGAACTTTTGGACATTCGTGGTTATTTTTCTAAACGTGTTGTGTTTAGATTAACAGCGCAGGCTGTAACCACAGCGGGGCACAACCGTACTTTTTGAGGTGGAAACTAAACGGGGGATCAAACATACAGTAGCCATTCTGTATTTTTCATTTCCAGAGTTCTCCAACGCTACTACTCGACATGCAAAGCCAGATCACAGTTTCTGCAGGTGCTTTTCATCGCCAGCACGTGCATGCACAGGAATGGAGGGGGGGAGGAGATAGGGAGGGTTGCAGTTGTCAGTCACACCGTTGAAGTTTCTTTCTTTCCTTTGGGATGAATCTATTACGTATTGGAAGTAGACAGTAATGAGGCTGATATCATGTTTCTCAGAACTGATGGAAAGAGGCGATACGATTAAGCCTAAAAAAAAACTGGATCTCGAATACCAGCTAAGTCACAGTTCTTTAAGGGTTGTCTGTCTTGGAAACTCATTCTAACCGGCAAGTTCCTTTTTCTTTTATTTTCTCTCTTTTTTCTTTTGACTTTCTATGTCAAACTTATTTAAAATAGTTGCTTTTACTAAGATGATCGCTGCTGTACATGCGAACGTGCAGAAAGCAGTAAAGGGATGTTTATGTAGCCTAATATAGTATAGCAGTACTTTCAGGATTGCGTTTAATATTTTGTTCAGGGTAATGCGTTATCGTTATTAGTTATGTTAATAGGTGCATTCAATTTCACATCACATTTTGAACCTCGATCTTGAGTGTTGCCGCATTTAAGCTTTTTTAGAGGATTATTGTCATATTTTTAATCTCTGATTCTTTTCAAGAGGCTAATTCGTATTATTATTCAGATAGGCCTACTTGATATGCTACGCAGTTAGCTAATACATACACCTGAAGAATAATTGATTTTATTTCCAATGTTTTTCCAAATGATTCTGAAATTTCTAAAATCGTTTAACTGAGAGTATATATGAGCGATTCTCTCTCCATCATGCGTTTGGTACACTTCTGTGTTGTTGTACTTTTGATGTTGCCTTTTTGTTTTCCTGTTGTCCTGTAAGAATTATCATCAGTGTAATTAGAAATAATTGTTATTATTATCAGCCAGGATGCTACGTTATAATATTGATTCAGTTCAATAGGCCTACGTGGTTTCGAAATCTCCATCAACATAAAATGACTTCATATTTATCGCTGAAACTCTGAGAATTGGTATTTAATACAAGTAAGTATGTTTACAGGTATTTTACAGTGTCTCCAGTACATCATTTCATTTGACACTTTTTGATGAAACAAAAAATTATATTAGACTGCACGAAATCTTTTTTAAAAATCTACGTTTAAAGTACATAATCAGTCAATGGGGCAAAAACGGGTTCACATTATCGTGGTATAGAGTCGCCTATTTATCAATCGTTTGTCACGTCTCACTTTTTTGTCGTCTCCCTTTGTTTAACAGAGATGCCGGTATGTGCCGGATGTAACCGACACATAGCGGACCGTTTCATCCTAAAGGTCCTTGAACGCCACTGGCACAGTAAATGCTTAAAATGCAACGACTGCCGAACCCAGCTGGCAGACAAGTGTTTCAACCGAGGCGACAGCTTCTATTGCAAAGAAGACTTCTTTAAGTGAGTGTTACTTTGCTGACATGAGTCAAGTTTTACGTTGTTTGATTCTGAAATACAGGTATACAGATCGGTATATGAAATCCAGTGTCTGAAACATGAAACTTACAATGCAATTTGACTGTGATCTGGGGCATTTTGTGGGTGATGTGTTGAAGAGGCCTGGAGTGGGCTGAGTAGGGTGAGTATTTGTTAAAATGGGACATTTTCAGAAAATTTGCTTTCTGGAAAATAAAGTAGGCCTATTATAAACACATATGTTAACTGCAAACGTTAACTGTCCAATTTTGCCAGGTGTCCCATTGTAACAATATTCACCCTGTATATTTAGGTTTATATGAAGGTTTATGAATGAATTATTAATTGTGTATTTTATTGTTTATGTATCTATTTATTATGATCTTTGCTGTCAGCACTGTGCAGGAGTATCACACACTAAATGTCATTATACAAACACACAATGACAATGAAGGCTTGTAATCTAATCTTGTCAGTGTTGTCATTGCATCGGCCCTTTATATTAATATTAAATATAGTTTTTTAACAAATGAAATCTTTGGGTTCAACTGATTTAATGTCCACACTGTTATGTTCAAAAGGAGATTTGGGACTAAATGTGCTGCTTGCCAGCAAGGGGTCCCACCGTCCCAAGTAGTGAGAAGAGCGGAAGACTTCGTGTTTCACCTGAATTGTTTCGCCTGCATTGTGTGCAAGAGGCAGCTGGCCACAGGTGATGAATATTACTTAATGGAAGATAGCCGGCTCGTTTGCAAGACTGACTACGAAACTGCAAAGCAGCGAGGTGAGAATGCGATTAGCTGGGTTATTTCCTTCTTTATACCGTCAACACATTGCACTGCGAACTGTAGATCACTTCCATCTTATACAGACCTATATTACACCACTGTGCTGTGTAGTGAAGATAGTGTGGTGTGGACCGCCTGGTCTTTGTCTCCATGCTGTATTAAGAGATTGGAACATGCTTTTGAGTTAGGCCTGGCACATATGCCTTCACTTTTTTATGTTGATGACCTTTAATTAAACAACAGCTTTGAACTGTGAACTTCATCTCTTGGGGCAGTAGGTCATCTATTAACCAGCGCTGTGGGCCTTCGGATCGATAGCACCCTTGATATATGTAGTGCAGACCCAAAGGTAGCCCAAAGAAAAACGATCGGCCTCCTGCCGAAAGCTGAAACTCCTCCGACAAGATGTACGACTCGGCAGATCCTCCGTGCTGATTAACCTGTCTGCCTAGTGTCCGATACGCCATTCAGTAAAAATCGCCCAAGGAAAAGCGTTTACATGTTTAAACTATATCTACCAGCTTTACTGTGATTAAATTAATTGCAAACCAACGGAAGCTCCTGATTGTATAAGATAATGTCAATGAACAAAAAGAAAAGTAAATAAAATAGAAAATGTCCTTTGATCACCATCTCCTAGAACCAACAAAAACAAAATATAACATTGTCAGAAACAATTGTAAAAGGAGGTTTTCCAAGGTTTATGAATGGCTTAACTTAAAATGAAATTTATTGCCATTTATTTTATTATATAAGTCGAGTGGAAAGCATAAATGTATTATAGTGGGTAATATAAATTGTTACATTTCCCTTTTACCCATATATGTACACTCTCAGAAAAAATGGTAAAAATTTGTACCTTTGCTTGTCCCTGCGCCTGTACCCTTGTTATTGTGCCTTTTAAGGTATAGAAATGGACTCTGAGGAACATCCCAAAGGTATAAACAGCAATAATGTACCAACAATGGTACAGAAATGTTAGTCAGAGTCCATTTATGTACCTTAAAAGGTACAATTACCTACAGCTAATGGTATAATTGGCAGACCCGTGAAGGTACAGTTTTTTTACCCTTTTTTCTGAGAGTATATCAGAACATATGTGGATATTTATTAAAATAATTTGGGAATGAAGTTCAGCTTTGAATCTGTTAAGAATTTCACAAATTCACATCATTTAGAATAACTTGTCAACTCATAATACTATATTATTTTAATATCAGAGATCGTTTTGTCAATGATTTGGAGCATTTCGTCTGTTTCAGAGGCAGACTCATCTGTGAAAAGACCACGGACAACCATCACAGCAAAACAGCTGGAAACCCTGAAATTGGCATACAACAACTCACCGAAGCCGGCCCGACATGTGCGGGAACAGCTGTCATCGGAAACAGGTCTGGACATGAGGGTTGTGCAGGTAAGCTCTTTTAATACTTTAACTCACAGTACCATCTATACGCATGCATGTGGGGTGATGAGTGGCTCAGCGGACTCGCCTTTTGACTCTCTGCTGTGAGCTTGCTCTCACCTGCATGTGTGTCTCATGAAGAACAAGACGGGGTAGGCTAGGAGAAGCGTTCCAGTGTCACTGTCCCAGTGGAACATAAAGGATCATCCCATTTATATGCTGAGCAAAACTGCATTTTGGTACAAAAGATTACATGAACTGTAATGCTAGGGATTCCCAGTGATCTAAAAGGGGGGAATTTAATAGTGTTAATTTATGATGAGCTGGAAACAAAGTCCGCACTTGAAAGTCAGGGCTAGTAAGGACAGGGCTGAGAGTAGCTCATTAACCCCTCTAGCGAGTATCGTTTACACGCTCCCGCAGGGCTGCACCGAGTGCCGGCTGTATATATTCTTTTATGTATGTGTGTTAGCAAGGACGTTTCCCTGACACCTTTTATTTACACGCTACTTTACCTCCATTCACCATCATGCATTTAGCCTTTTGGCAGCTTTCACGATTTTTTCGAGGGAAATCAGGAGCCTAACAGTGTTCATATATATTCACACAACATAATTGCTTGGCTGGCTTAAGGCAATTGGTAGAATTGCTCCTTAAGGGTAGCTTGTGTAAGTGAACCTAAAAGTGTGCCTCTGAAAAATAGGAATTTCTGTATGATATATATCTATATATGTAAAGTTTTATAAGCATGTATTTTATACTGGGCTACTTTTGATTGTTGGGTCACATATGTAGGTAAGTTATTTATGTCACGCACGCTGCTACTAAATATTAATGTACTTGTGTATTTCATTGGCAAAATGACAAATAAAACTCCTTGATCCTTGATTTTGGATCATCTCATCCTCAATGGCAACCTGACCGCACCAGATTAAGGACAGTGTGCAGTTACCTTTGAGTTAATTACATGTGAAACAGATGCTTCTGGGAGGCCAAGGGCATGGTGACGCTGTTGTTGATGCTCTATCCGACTGTTTTAGTTTCCTACCTCGGATAAAATGTACACGTAATAATAAATCACAGCTTGCTATGAAAATCCTGAGATACCATAAAACAGCACTATTAAATATGTTGCGTATATGTAAAATACGGTAAGCGTATTCTTAAAAGCACTCCATCTAATCTATGTACTGATGTGTTACTTACATAGTACTGTAAAATAATATTTAATCATTTTCCATTCATTCAGTCATCAATCCATCTTCCAGCTGCTAATCCTGGTCAGGGCTGGGACAAGGGGGGGGCGGGGGGCCTGGAACCCGGGCACAAAGCTGGGGTACCCATGGGATGCCAATTTGATCGTTTCCCTATAATGTAATTGCTTTGTTAATTAAAATAAATGCTTACATAAACATTTTTTAATCATCGTTTTAAGTATGAATAATTTATTCATACTTATTTAGTTATTAAGTTACAATGAAAGAATATAAACACTGAATTATTTATTGTGTTTTAAAATGAAAGGAAGCAGGAAGAAGAAAGTTCTTATTTTAAATACTTGGTTGATTACTTGACTGATTCATTTAGTTACATATAACGTATACTTTGCAATTATGTATAATCTTAATACATCTTTAATATTTATATAATGAAATATTTGCCAATATTCATCCAGATAGTCCATTACTTTTGTTCTGTCTGTCAGAAGGTTCTTGGGCAGTTTATACCCAGCGCTTACCTGGGGAATTTTGTGCTATTTCAGGTCTGGTTCCAAAACAGACGAGCGAAGGAGAAGAGACTGAAAAAGGATGCCGGTGGGCATAGGTGGGGGCGATACCTCCGAGGCCTGAAGCGGCCCCGGGCCAGCAACAGCCAGTCAGACAAGGGCAGCGTCCAGGAGGAGGACATGGACAGCGATGCCGAGGTCTCCTTCACAGGTACTGCGGGAACACGGCCTTGCATGGACACGGGAAAACCATTAATACTCAGAGATGCCCGGATAATAACTCAATAGACAAATACATTCATATTGTAACTAGCTATGTAAACATCATCATTGTCACACTCATTGTGTTAAAAAGGGGCACATAAGTCGAAATACTTTTGCACTTGTTTCCTTATCCTTAGATGAACCATCAATGGCAGACATTGACCTTTCCGATGGGATCTATAGAGCAGTGAGCGAGACATCGCCGGTTACGGAAAGGCTGATTCCGAAACACAGCAGCCCCTATGGTCCCCCCCAGTCCCCGAGACCCACGCAGCCTCTGCTGGGACAGCAGCCACTTGTGTCCAGCTTGTTGTACCCCGAAGCAGCGATGTCCATCCTGATCTCAGGCATGCGTGTCATTGGGAGCGGAAACGGCCCCACTTCAGACCTGTCCACAGGCAGCAGCGGTAGCTACCCAGACTTCCCTGCAAGTCCAGCCTCCTGGCTCGATGAAGTAGATCATAATCAGTTCTGATTGGTCTACAGGAGGACGGCACTGTTCATTTAAAATGAGTTTTTTCTGCCCACTTTCACAGAATGTGACAATTTTTGGAGACACATGGCATTCAAGTACCTTGGATTATTATTTCAGAGATGGTGTTAGGGGTCTCTATGTGTCCTCCATACCAGTGCTTAGTGTTTTATACTGTAACTGGTCATTGTTAAACCCTTAGCAGTGTGTATGTGGAAGGCCTTTCTAATACGAACATCATATGAAGACATTTACTTAACTTAAACTTTTTTACAAAAAATATGTTGCTGCTGTCTACATCACATGTCCCTCAGTCGCTTCTGATGTCACTGGTAGTTGCAAGGAGAGCTCTTTAAAATGCTCAATTTTTGCAAATGATTATTCAAATAAAGTTATTTTCTTATAAAATACGATGTCATCACTCATTATTTACATGCATTAATACTACACAACTTGTGATGGTTAGTAATAGACGGAATACCTGGAAATGTCAAGTTTGCTTTTAGGGTCAGATGAATTTCAGCTTTTTTTTCAGTGAAGCGTCACTTTACTGGCACCCCTGAGCATGGCTGTGCTATGGCATTGAATTAAAATGGCTCTCATGGGTTTTGGCTGATGTCACTTCCTGTTTGTGTTGCCTGTTTTGCTCTGTTGTTCCTGTGATACATTGCAGTATTAGTACGAGTGTCTTTCAGGGGCAGGCTGTTGCTAAATGTCTATCTATTGCAGATTTCCACTGTAAAAATCTCTGTTTTAACAGATTTCTGAAAAATAACTTGAACAAAGGTACGCGGGGTGGTAAATGTGATTAAAAGGGGTAGATCAGTTATAAAACTATTTTCTTATGTAATAATTGTGTGTATGTCATCATATTTCATTTGTTATGTGATGCTGAAACAATCTGGGATTGTTCATTGTCAGTGTTTGTTTTGTGAATGATGTTGTATGGATCTTATTTATTAATCTGAAAGTTAAAGAATACTTGAATAAATACGAATCATAAGACCGCTTCTTCTGACTGCCTGTCCTTGAACACATTTTTTTCTAATACAAATTTGATTAGATAGCTCCTTTAAAGACCATTTACATTTTAGTGAAAATGTGCATTTTGGCTATAAAGCCACTTAATTGCTAATAAAGTGTCTAGAAGCAATATTGATGTTTAAACCTTCCAGCTGAGACCAAATTAACCATAAAAGAGAGATGCTATTCCTGTTTGCCAGCATCATATTTGATTGCATGTGCTGAATGTCAGATGGAAAAGAAAGATTTAATAAGCTTGCTGTATTTCCTAAAAATGATTTGGAGTGAAGCATAGTAGAGGAAGACCTTCACAGAGGCAGGCAGATTCTTAGTTTGTTTACTTGTTCTCCAGTCTAAATTCTCCAGTTAAACTCCATTTTTGGACTAATGTTTAACCATTTAAAATGTGCCTTTTATAATCATTTCTCTCATTTATATTTTAGCTGTGTGACCTCCCTTGACCTGGTATTGCAACCTGTTCAGTAATTTTCGATATAGGCCTGCTTTGGCTATGCTAGTTAACCTGTGCTCTAGGTGACGCCCATCTTCTGGGAGCGCTGTTCCGTTCCTGAGGGCCAAAAAGCAGGTGTGTGTTTGGAATCGCATCTCACATTTCCTATAGACCTGTTCATGGTACGACTTTGTTAAGTGTGAAGCCTAAACAAGACAAATAGAGAAGAATGTACAGCTTAACACAGAGTACCACATTAACACAGAGTATCATTACTTAACGTTCTAGTTAGAACAGACTGAACCAGCCAAAATACTGTCATGATTACAGATTCACTATAAATTATACCAGATGATAAACTCTACAAGTAGTGGATTAATACCCAAAAGCATGTAAATGTCTGTGGTTATTAGCATTTCTGCCTGCTTAAAATGTCTAAAGCAACAAATAGAATGATATAGTTAAAACACCACATCAGTTGTAACAAAGATAACGGCGTTGCGTTTGCAAGAATACCAATTAAAACTAAATAAAAGTTTTAACAACTTTACTGCTTGAAATTGTATTTCTGTAAACAACTTTTACAGCAAAAACCAAAATTTTCCGATTAAATATTCCCTGCATGTGAGTCCTGAAAGCAGCCTCATACTCTCCAGCAGGTATTCCTGGTGAACATCTAAGGCGTATGTCCACTAATAGATATTTTTGGAGAAACAGGTTAAACAATTAAAGCTCTGCACTGATCACGACCATCCATCTCTCCAGCCCTCAGTATGGCCTACCGTCATGCCCAGTATAGGGCAAGAGCGTTAACCAGGAGCTTATCTCAGGAGACTCAGGCTACTAGGCAAAGCACGGCCATGCTTTTCAGTATATGCTGCTGTGTCCATCACCATCACTGGCCTGGGAAATAGCTGAAAATAAAAATGATGTGTATATCTCCAAGAAGAGTGTGATATTGAAATGGTGTTAAAGTGCTTCTTGGGTTCCTCTTCCAGCATAACCCTGCCTACACCCATGGTGTCATCTGGCTGGTGTAAATCACCACTGACAGCTACACCTCCCCTGAGCACCACATGTTACACCAACTATTCAGGGGTAATGGAGCAGCCAAAAGCCTCGTCCTAATCTGGAGGTTCGGGGTAGACATGTTTCTGAGAGGAAGCATGTAGCAATGATTAACAAACAGCCGATTTACTGCAACCTCTGCGTGCTGACGAGTAGCTTCTGGTGGTGTGACGGCCTGGGCAGATGCCATCCTTACGGTTTAAAAGGGGGGTTTGGAATGTTCCATCTGAGAAAAAACAATTTGGATGGATACATTTTGCTGAGGATGAAGTTTATGTCTTTGCTATGTAAACTGTAGACTTTACGTGTCACATTTTTCATGCAACAATGTTAAGTTGTGCTGCTACATTAATGTAGATTTGGGTAAAGAACTGTGGTGACCTATTTGCACATTTTAATCATTAGATATTTTGTGATTAAATATGAATTTGCTTATATGTTACAATTCACAGTATTATAAGGTGTAAAGTATGACAAACGATTGTGGTGGGATGTCGTTTTCTGAAGAAGATTAAGAACTTTTTTCAAAGGAAATAGTTACACTATTTGTTTAAACAATAAGTAATGAGCCTATATATTAAAATAAAGAAGCATATTTTAAAATAATAACATAGTACATTTTGGAAAAAAAAAACTGAAATGCTTAACTTTTTTGGCCTCGGAAAAAAGATTTTCTACACTTAAAAAACAGTGAGACTTCTAAACTTTTCTTTCACTCACGTTAACTCAGACATAGATTCATTACGCTTCCGTAAAAAACAGTGGTGTTTTAGATTTTTTTCTTTTCTCAATGTTTTGCGCTTCCTGCTCAGTAAGAATCAGTGCGTATGGAAACTTTGAGGATGGTGTTACATACAAATATTTTATGAACTCTTCTTTTTACAAAAAAAATCTTCCTGCTTATGTTTGTTTTTTTGCAGCTGGAATTTCCAGGCAAGGTAATTCATTTTGAATTACAGAAAAATTAAATTAAGCTTGAAAGACATTATTGTGATTCATTCAGAGATAAAACTTAGAGGATGTTATATTTTCTGTTCGGTATAATAATGTTCTTTGTAATGCTTAAAACGTAGGAGAGAGTAGATTTAAGATTATGCAGGACATGCTGTCACATATCCCAAACTTCATTGTCACTCTTTTTTATTTCAGTGAAGTTTTAACAGCTCCCCTGGGTTCCCTGTCTGCCCCCTTATATCCCCAGAGCACACAACCCCAGATGGCTCTGCTAACTGACACACTTTTCAATTAAACTGGGAGAAAAGACCATCCCTCCATCGGCTGCCAATAGCATGACAGAAGATGTGGGAGGGCCGTGTAGTCCTGTTCACTCATGTTTGGTTGGGATTTTTAGCTACATATTCAACAATGGAAACGATACAAATAAGAATTATTAGTTATTATTGTATCTAAGTTTTTCAGTGGTTGGATTGTCTTTAATGTCTTTGAATAAAGTTGGTTTAATTAGAATTGTGTTTATTTAATGTTACACACATTAACTATGATCACCCCGTCGCTTGAAAAGGTTAACGTTTTTTCAAACAATTACCCCTTGTGATACAACTCGTTACACATGAGGTATGGCTTTGTCACACTTCTGAATAACATGTCTAGACTTGGAGGTGGTGGCCAGAGGGACACAGCTCACAAGAGTGTTGCACGGAAGGGGAGTAATCAATCACTTTGTATAATTGTTGCGTTGGAGGTCAGGGAATGCCGCATCGCGAGCCCCTGCTGGGTCTGCCGATAGTGTAGACAGGGCAGGAGGCTGTGACCGAGCCCATAGCTCAGCTGATGCCCCCATGTGAGATTTCATTTAGCATCCGTGTGTCTTCCTTCCAGACGGCTTTTCCTTGCCACTGTTGCCTCTGGCTTAGTCACTGGGGGCTTTCAGATGATGTAATGTTGTGAAAATGTGCATTATAAATAAAATTGAACTGAAATTAATTGAATTGAACTGAACTGAGCTGAATTAAATTAAATTCAATTGAATTCAATTTAATTCAGTTGAATTCAATTGAATTCAATTGAATTCAGTTGAATTCAATTGAATTCAATTGAATTCAGTTGAATTCAATTGAATTCAATTGAATTCAGTTGAATTCAATTGCATATGGGGCTTAGGGGTGTCGAAGCTTTGATAGGCAAATTTCTTCATTATCCTTGTAATTAAAAGGACAGTTGGCAAATTGGCAAACAGAAACTATGAAAGGTGAAACAGTATGTATATATATCTATATCTATCTACATATACATACACATAAAATCTCTGATATTAGCAGTAACCTAGAGATATATTACAACATTACATGCAATTATCCATGAGATGTAAATTTTAGTTACTTATACAATTATCAGGACATACCAAATATAGTGCAAGCAAAATATCTGAATGATATAAATGATGTCAGTCATATAAATGTGCTATTGACCACATACATAAAATAAAGCAGGTTTAATATGATGATGTACTTGTTTCATTAGATGATGAGGTGCAACAAATAAGGAAACAAATTTGATTACTAAATAAGCTTTGCTATTTTATTCTCTCCATGTATAAAGGCAACATTTTTAGTTATATATTATGTAATAATTTTTAGATGGAAATAAAAAGTAGTATTTATTGATGATTTGTTAAATTATGTTTGATCATCATTTTTTAAATTCTAGAGATCGGGTCTGAACTCTTATGGTTTGTGGTATTTTATTAAAACCCACAACATGATATTTGAAGTCTTTTTTTCTGTAATTTTTTTGTGTAAATTCGTTTTCTTTTGTGAATTGTATTACTTAGAATGTGAGCATGTTTTTATTAAAATATGATTGCTGTAACCTCTTCTTTTGATTTAGCTAATAGTCATCATTATCCACCAATCAAGTGTTTGTAATATATTTACATTAATTACTACATTGGTCCCCTATGCACAATTCATTGTTAGTTATAGACAGTGGTTCTGAAGGAGTTACAGTGTAATCTCAGGCACTGATTCCTATGTTCTGTGGTTTACTGTTATAATCCCAGATACACAATTTTACATTGACTTATACAGATTACCTTCACAGAATATTAAACATACTAAATATATTTAAAAACTTCAAATTTTTATATGCAAATATTCAAATATGAGGCCTTATTTTTCAACTGCAACATGTCAACACATACATTTTAAATGTAATAACTACCTTTATACTGGTCTGTAATCACCCCTGCCTGCAGTCTGTCATCTGTCTATTTAAGCTCATTCTGGCTGATGCATTTTTTTTTTTTTTGATCAGTCTAGGGTTTGGTCAAGTTCACTTGCCCTGGCTTAGAAGTTTAATGTCTTAGCTGTACTTAGTGGGTTTGGTGCTGGTTGGACCTTTGGATTTATAATCTCATCCTTAGTTACTCCTATGTGAGTCCAACCCAGCCCTGTCAGCAGTGACTCAGATTCAGAAACCAACCGGTCGAGGAGGAAGGTCTGCCAT